TCTCTTTTGTATGACTGAATGCAGATCGCGTCCCCCATCGTTTCAGGACCTGTCAAAACCGACGGACAAGCGCATGTTTGCAATCGCCCGTGGAATGTTCTACGGAGACTTTGACGTAGAGAAAACCTATGAGCTGACTCATATAGACAAGTGGTTCCTGCACAGAATGCACAACATCGTGGATATATACCATAAATTGCAGAAAGAGTCGGTAAGTTCATTAGTCCACTTTTTTTAATTGCACACTCCAGGATAACTGGATGGGCGGAGACCCATAACGATTTGTGAATTCCTCATTAGTGTGTCCCTCCTTCTTGAACAGTGGCTGTTAGAGACGCGCTCATGAGGAGGACACAAATGGTTGCATATCTCCGTCCATTGCGAAATATGTCTTTAAGTCGGGCACTTCCCTTTATTATCGGAAATTCAGCTGTCAACATTGACGTCTGAACTTCTTCTCGAGGCGAAGCAGGCTGGATTCTCGGATAGGCAAATAGCCAAGACGATTGATAGGCGAGTTCTTTTAAACGTTCGTTCTTTGGCTGGGACCTATTCCATCCTCTGACACGACCCCCCCTCCCCATCCTACCTACCACTTTCCTAGATTTTCCCAACTTCCTACCACTTTTTCCGGCATTTCCCGAAAAATTTCTAGTTTTTCCCCAAAATTTTGCTGTCGAACGGGAAGAACTGCAAAAAGCCAACAACCGGGGAAAATTGTTCCCAGCGCCGCAAATTCCTCTCGGAGACAAGTACAGCTCCCCTCCTCTCCGAACAACGACCAAATACGACCCCCCCCCTTTATAGCGTCCGTGAAACAAGAGAAATCAACTATCAAAAAAATTTTCTCAGACCAAATACGACCCCCCCTCCCTCGCGGTCAAATACGACCCCCCCCCCCCTTGTGATTATCACAACGATGGCGTGCCCTGTCTCTTGCAGCCCTCTCATCAACGACTATGGCAACGAGCGCGCGCTAGCAATCGTGCTGACTGTCTTCAAATGCCTCCTTCTGGCGTATTTGCACCACTTTTCGATTGCTCCACTGACTTTTTTATTTTGTTTTTATTTGTGAAATAATAGTTGCTGAGTTCGGCCGTATTTAGCACGGAGTCGATGGTCCGCGAAAGACGGGTGCGCCTGAAAGTGACACCGTGGGTGAAGCAGATTGATACGGTAGCTGGCGAATGGCCAGCGCAGACAAATTATCTTTACGTCACTTATAATGGTGCAGAGAATGATGTGCAGTTCAACATGGTAAGCCAGTTTTGCTCGAAATCTGTTTGCCCCTCCACGGTAATATTCATTGCCGATTGAATGTTTTAGAAAAACGCGGTAATCGTACTCGGCTCCGGTGTCTACCGTATTGGATCGTCTGTCGAGTTTGATGCCTCTTGTGTAGGCTGTGTCAGGGAACTGAAGTCACTCGGCTACCAAACCATTACCATCAATTGCAATCCGGAGACGGTAGGAGGATAGTTGTGGTCTGGATCGATATCCATGCTTTACATGTGGGAGATTTGTTACAGGTATCGACGGATTACGATATGTGCGATCGATTGTACTTCGAAGAGATTTCATTCGAAACGGTTATTGATATCTATCACAAGGAAAAACCAAAAGGTGTTATATTGGCGTTTGGAGGTCAAGCTCCGAACAACATTGCAATGAGCCTCAACAAAGCACAGGTTTGTTATCAACAGTGTGGAGGAGTACGGTAGCCTACATTGGGCGGCCAATAGTAGCGCGCCTTGTTACTGTACTCTCAGACCCACAAGAGAGGGCTATGGAAGTGTAGGTGCTAAATGCTTTCACGGCGCAGTTTGGCTTGGAAGCGGGGGGGGGGGGGCGTCAAGTAGAGATTTGTGATATCTTGTGAAGCTATGAAGTGATACAAGTTGAAGTTTGTAGAAAGTACTTGTCAATTTCTGCAAAGAATACCTGTCAACCCTTGTAAAACAGTGAAAATCGCTATGAGATAAAGCGAACGTGCAAGTTGCCCCCTCCCCTCCCTCCAGACTGAACTGCGCCCGATGTCTCTCATGTTCGGCTTTGTTCTTGAAATACACCTGGATTTCCAGGGCGCATTTGATAGCAGAAACAAGGATGGAAGGGTAAATTCGATTATCTTTGGATGTTCCATGCAATCGATTTCTGATTTGAGGGGAGGGAGGGGGCATTTGGTTTGACTCGGTTGTAACACGATGATTGGCTATTCACACAATCATCGTGTTCAGACAAGTGCTGTTATAACAACCAATAGTGTTGCTATAGCCAAGTTCCCTCCCCCCCCAACTAACAGATTTTACACATCAGATATTTCTAATCATTTCTTTGTGGCCGATCAGATTCCTTTTCCATTGAAGATGCTTGGAGAGACATTTGGCTGTGAGGAGATGGGTGGAGACTCACAACCAGCATGCTTTCCTCACTGGCGCATTTTCTTTTGATGTGGCAAATAAAAAAAGGGGTGGGGGGCGACAATGTGGAGGGCTTGATGGCCGTGAGTTTCTTGCATTGGCGGCTAAAGGGTCAGCAGTAACCATGCTTACGACTAGAGTTTGTGTAGCTTTTTTCGTCTGCAATCTATGAACATTTCCTAAAGCTTGATTTTCATATCGTCCACAAGCATCTAGTTTTGCAGGTAAATATCTTTGGCACGTCGCCAAATGATATTGACAGCGCGGAAGATCGCTTCAAGTTCAGTAGAAAGTTGGAACATTTGCAAATGAGCCAGCCTCAGTGGAAGAAAAGTGAAGATATTGAGGACGCTAAGGTCTGTTTATGGGCTCATCAACTGTGAACATAGACTGTAGCGATGAGGTCCAACCTACGAATTTAGAAGTTCTGCGCCAAGGTCGGATATCCATGCCTTATTCGACCGTCCTATGTGCTGTCTGGTGCGGCGATGAACGTTGCTCACACTGAAGATGATCTGGCAGTATTCTTGAAGCAGGCGGCAGTCGTTGCCAAGGAGCATCCTGTGGTGGTGTCTAAGTTTATCAGGTATTTTGGAGCTTGGAATTTGAATACACGGCGTATCCTAGAAGGTTTTCCCAACAGAATACTTACCATTTTCCCATTCCAAGTCAGGCTTTTGCAGTTTGACTTCTATCAATATTTCAGTGAAGCAAAAGAAATCGACGTTGACGCAGTCGCCATGGAAGGTGAATTGCTGGTCATGGCGGTTTGTGAACATGTAGAGAATGCTGGAATCCATTCGGGTGATGCAACATTGGTCACTCCCCCACAAGATCTGAACCAGGTACTGTAGTCTCTTACAATGAAGGATTTTTTCGAATTCAAAGCGTAATCGGTGTCGGTAGAGTGAGTGGACTCACCTGGACCAGTTGCACTTTCCTGATTGGTTCGATCTTCCTATTCGCCTTCGTAGGGGCTCACCAATAGGAAAGCGCACCTGTCGGAGAGACCCTGCCCCTCGATCGGTTCAGATGCCCTGGGGCTCACGGAAGTTCATGGACCTCACTGCTGGGCCTGGGCTCTCGATGAGTTGAGCTATCACCGCAGCACCTCTCCCCCGGTCATATTTGATGTGAAGGGAATACTTGCCCTCCCCCCGCCCCGTCGTGCGTGATGCGAAGGGAAAAGTTTCCGGTTGTTTTTCTCCACATATCCGTTTCACGAGCGCTAAATGCCTCTCGTCTCCTCCTCTGTTTGACGGTAGCTTCACGAAGGGAGATAACGCCAGAGAGGAGGAACTTTCGAGGAAGGGATCTATTTTGCGAAAATTTTCCCCGACGGCAGAAACGTGCCCTACCTACACCTTGCCTGACCGTGCACGTTTGCATATTTCTGAAGCCATGTTTCTCTGCCTCACTATGAGGTTAACCGTTGCGCCCTTCTAGAGAATTAGCTTTACACTCCTTACACCATCGATCCATATTGTCCTTAAAAAAGTCATGCATAAAATGGACAACTCCATTCAAGTTAACAAGTATCCAGATTATACATGCGAATCGCTTCGCTTCAACGTGAACGGAAACATTCTAATATGCAGCGATTGCAAATTTGCGCTTTCATTCATTAGGAACGTGTCACTTTTTCGTGACAAGTATATTTTTTTTTTATTGGTTCAGGGCCCTTCGCCTTGGTGGGCGGCATCTAACGTACTTAGGAAGCTCTAACAAGGCACCTTAAAAAGACCTGTAAATGCCTGGGACCAGTGTGGCTCACTGACACACAGCAGACCTGTGGGTTGACGTGAACTAACAAAAGAAATTCCCCCCCCGAAGCGAATAAGGCGGATTTCAAATTCTCTTTCGGTTTCCCAGTTCATTCTGTCATAACTGAGATCTTTTCTGTATCGAAAATGTTTAGGATAACGACTGAAGTGATTGAATGTAACCTGCGAGTTTCGCGTCATTCCCCTTTGTCACGAAAACGCTCGACTTCGACTTTGTCGCTTTGGCTACACGAGCGATGATGGCAGCAGACAATCCCGCAATCGGAAGCTCTTTGAAGAAGCATGCTCTGCTTCGTGGTAAAGGCGTGTCGGCGTGAAGGTATGTGATTCTGATACTTTTAGGCCCTTAACCAACACCATGCTGATTGTATGGCGGAGACAGCGAGCTGGTTCGTGCTTCCTCATTGCTGCTTCCCCCTCATCAGAAGTGTGCGAGCATTACTTCCCCAATCACGATATCGCGGTTGAGTTGACTTGAGATTCAGACGAGTCGACAGGCAGCGTTGCATCCATGTTGAAGGCGTGCATCGCAAGAAATCGTAACGTGCCAATCTATAGAGCTGGCGAGCGCAGGTCGCGCATGCGAGACATTGTGTCAAATTTCGAATGCCCAGGACGGGAAAGATCGATATCACCTGGACGGGAAAGATCGATAATCATTGGAGTGGAGATGAATGGAATGCAATAGAATGCTCTCGCTTGTATCAGAATGAGATTGCCAACTGGGGCTTATCGAGAAATTGTCGCGCGATACGCCACGCGCGACGACGCGGCAGATTGCGATTGTCTTGTCCGTCTCCCCTTGCTGGATTGGTTGAGTCCTGGCGTCGCTCAGTTTCTACTGCCTACTTCGCAGCGACTGGGAAGTAACGCTCTATTCCCGTTAGGAAGAGAGGCATGCTGATGTGTGAGGTACAACTGTTGGGTCTCCGCCCAAACGATCAACGTGGACTCTACATCTAAATGAAGGATAATCAACACTCAGGTGCCACAATTCTCCTTTTCACGGCTAACAGGTGCAGATGTAATGCTTGGAGTGGAAATGGCGTCCACAGGAGAGGTATGTACTGAACATTTGGCATCAATTTGGAGATTTTTTGGTCATTTTCCTTTTTTTCAGGTCGCGTGTTTTGGCAAACATCGTCAAGAAGCGTATTTGAAAGCACTTCTTTCTACTGGATTCATTGTCCCAAAGAAGAATATCTTCTTGTCAATTGGAGGATATCATGTTAGTTATTTGTCCCATATTTCCCCGATATGGTGCAGGTGTAAATAGGCCCGTTACTTGTTAAGAGGTAGAGAATGACGTCATCTAGAGCGTTAATGGCGCGAAGGGTCACATAAAACGATAAACACGTATAACCCGGTAATGACGTTCCAAAATACGTCATTGATGAGCTATATGACGTCAATAACACGTCATCTATCTCTCTGCAAGTGATATGTATGACCGGGTATTTGTGTTACATGAGCCCCTTGACCCGAGAGGTGGAGAGGGCGTGTCTACGGTTCTCATGGCATAGGGGGCGGCTGCGCATTCAACGGAAATATTGCCGTTTGTCCTTGTCTAACAGAAGACAGGACGACATCTATCTCAAATGGAAATATCCCGCAAAAAAGTGCATCCTACAAATTGTTCGAATGAAATGCGCAGCCACGCCCACTCCGCCTCCGGGATATAGAGTGTATATATCCGTGATGTTTTTCTTGAGAAGTCATAATGTGGATTCTTTTAGGCGAAATCGGAGATGTTGCGTAGTGTGCAGTTGCTCCAGAACATGAACTTTGATCTTTTTGGCTCAAAGGGTACGGCGGACTACTTCCAGTCGAATAACATCCATATGAGGGCTGTCGATTGGCCTTTCGAAGAAGGAATATCTGACGAAAAAACGGCCGGAGGATCGAGGTGCGGTTTGCTATTAGGGACACGGAAAATTACTTGCTGGGCTCTCCTCTTAGCGCATGTTGGTTGTATAGTTGATATCGTCGCAGTCAGTCGGGGCAGAGTCAGAGGGGACGGAGTGACCCCGCGCCGGCTGCGTTTTCTACCAATAGCGACCGGGCAGCGACCGATTCAAGGAGAAAACAATCAGTGGTGAAGAACGCCACGGTGGGCTCATTCCATGCTCCTTGGCACCGCCCTGACTGATAGCAACGATATCAACTGCTCATACAGTACATATACCGAAGATCGGGAGGACATGGCTGCCCGCTTCATTAGAACGTGGCGGCGGCTGCGTTTTTGATGGGATGTTGCCTGTCGGGAGCACTGTAATCATGTCTCTATCTATCACAAAATAGGATGGTAGAGGCTCTAGAGGGAAACAATTAATG